AGAAGACATGTATTTCAGTTTTTAAGAAAGGCAGGAAATTTTCAGTTGTGTGATAAATTACAGTATTTTTACGAACTGCAAGTGCTTACTTTAAGTGATGTAGTATTAAAAATATTCATATGTTTTCTTTACAGGAACTGAATTTCAAACATGTTAGTAGAGGATAAACAGGTAGTTTTTTCTGCTTTCTACTACTTTTCCAGATGACTGCAGATTCTAAAACAACATGAAATCTGAGCTTTACTCAGCTTCCCTCTCCTCTACCTGAGACTTTCTTCTTCTGTTTTCACTCTGGTTTCTGCCATCAAATACAACTCATTTTCCAGGACCATCTTTTTTTTCTGAGAGCATGATCTTTCTATAATTATCCGTACAACTTGTTGTTAAGCTTGGCTATACTCCAGATTTTCCATTATTCTTATCCATTCAGTCTCTACGTTCTTGTAGATTCCCATTTCTGGATCCTTTCCGCCTTCCCTGGATAGGATGTACCACAGTAAGCTTCTTTTGCCTTGCTAAATCTTACAGGTCTTCAGATTACAAGGAAGAATAGTAGCAATTTAATGGCTCACACTCTTTGGGAGCTGTGTACCTGCAGGAAATTAACACAATAAATAGGCTTCTTCGTCTGTCATCAGTAGTCACTTCTCCTTATCCTGATTCTTCCCTCTGGCCCTCTATGCTGAGCTATGGTTCTGCTACTCTCATACTGCTTTCCACTTCTTTTTTTGGCTTAGGTGTTTGCTCCTTTCTGTCTTTGCTCTTGATATCAGTGGAAAGATACTGGCTACTCCAGAAAAAAAGGAAAAGTGTCATGTTTAAGCTAGGGGCTCTTCTACACAATACTGTTTTCATGAAGCTGAAACAGATGGATGATTCCTTTTGGCACAGAATGGGGGCACTGAGCCAGAATGGAAGAATGCAGTAAGACTTAACACCAGAGTAGAGGTGGAGTAGACAGAGTCAGAAATACATCCTTATACTGAGCTGGAGAGGAGAACTGCCATGCCCAGTCATTATATGTGTCATCATAATTAGGCAAGAGCTTTCATTTATATATTTCAAACAGGCTCCTGAGTCCCTTTTCAGTAGAAGGCTGCTTTTCAGACTAGAACTTTTCAGCCCAGCATGGGGGAAGTTGGAGGATGGTTGAGGAGGTGCAAGCCAAAAAAAAGCCAAGTTTGAAGTGCAGCCAAATTATTATGCACTTTGCAAACATGCCATGACTTGGGGGACCAATGGAAGGATGCTGGTGAAGAATACTAATTCTTAAATATTTGAAATTTAGAATCCATGAAGAAACTATGAAAATGTTAACATGATACAACCATGAAATCAACCCAAAGCAATCTGAAGTGCTTTAGAATTTTTCTGTGACAAATACGTTCTCTTCTTCTCTGGCAATTAGAGGTTTCATGCATCTTAAATGTCATTGTCAGATAGCCATAATATTAATTTTCTGTTTGCTTGTGAGTTATTTCCTCCAGTTTCATGGGTTTACAACCCTCTCTCATTTTAGTGCAGCCATTATAACCAATGGAACCCCCTGCTTAAGAAGTTCTACTCAGCATAAATAAGAATGCAGAGTCAAGACCTTTTGTCTGGATTGTGATCTTCACTTATTGAGCTTAAAATTCGTGGGAGAGTTAATCTCCAAAGACAATGAAGCATTTTTCTTTTACAGCATAATAACAGTGCTCAGGGTATGTAATGACTGATTTCTGTGCTTTTATGTGATCAAATGTACTGCAAAAACACAAACCTTCCCATTCTTCTTAAAATCGTTTTATGTATAACTGACATGGGAAATTTGTTCTCCTTTTATAATGAACAGTGTGAGATAGCAGAGACTGGTTAAAAGACTTAATAGAAATTCTTGGAGGCAGAAGCATAATTTTTTGTTAGGTAGTCTCTAGAGCAGAACCAAAGCCAGAGTTATCTTTGTGTAGATTCTATATTGTTTCAAAAAACATGTTAGACTTGGCTACTAATATGTATAAAAGATAAATGCTAGCAGGTGTGTTTGTGTAGAGACAAAGCTAGAGTTCTCCAGTGAACATTTGGGTGAATATAGACTTGTGAATGTATTCATCCATTAATACAGAGAGATAGTTACTGTTTACTTTCTTGGTCTGGAGTTTTTGAAAAAATAATTATGGAGTTTTTGAAAAAATAATTAATGGAATGAAGTTCAACAAGGCCAAGTG